TATCTTGTGAGAAAATATTGAAGGCTTATCTATCTTTGATGTGATAGTGGAAGTGATGTTTATTCCTACAATCAATTGACTGCTTGAAGGGATCTAATTTTATGGAAAGGGAAGTTTTTCTTTTTTCCCCCGTTATGGGAAGCATCCTTACCAATGATAGTATACTAATTCCATATTCTTTTATTATAAAAGGTGGAGTAACTCCACAGAGGAAGAGAAGATTTTCAAGTGAGATTAGATTGTTGAGTTTTTTTTTAAGGTCCTGAGCTGTTTCCATGGTGGATACTGGGTGAATGCCTCTGGAGGATACTTGAGGCATATGGGAGGTGTGACAAAGCAAGGGAAACTTTAAGGAACATGGAGGGATTCTGGGGTATAGATGGTATTAAAAGAATAAGGAATCTGAGGGGTTATAGTGGGGACATGTAGTGGTTGGGGAGTACGACATGAAGGCTTAAGTACCTAACATTGATCATTAACACAGGACCGATAATACAGTAAATGGAAGTCTGCATTTGAGCCTGTTAACCTGGCATCAACCCAGCTTCATTGCTACCCTGGGAAGGCATGTCTAAATCCATTTCATCATTGGCTAGCCAGAAAGAAAATGCAGAAGGTAAAGAGTCGTTTTAAATGAGACTTCTCTGTTACCTTCTCAGACATTTTTCCAATACTCAAGCAAAATGGTTGGAACCCATGACATCCCCAGAACATTGTACTATACATGATCAAGATGCCAATCGGCCTTGGCTCAATTGGTAAGTCTCTTGCCTCTTAGGCTGTAAGGTTCTGGACTCAAGTCCCACTCCAGAGCTTAAGCATAGAAATTAAGATACTCCAGTCTGTACTATCAAAAGTATTTTAGATAATATTTGATTTATCCTCAACATCACTGAAAGATTATTTGGTTACTATCACATTTGTTTGAGTCAACTGTGCAGTGATCATCCACCTTGTTTCCTACTTCACAGAGTTTCTACAGTTGGAAACTACTGCATTGACTAGTAAGGACTCTGAGAAGTCCAGTAGTTGTGAAAAGTGACTTGCTATTTTACTGAGATAACAAGGGGTAGAGCTGAATGAACACAGCAGGCCAAACAGCAGGGGAGCAGGAAAGCTGACGTTTCGGTTTACTGTACTTTTCTGCAGGTGATTGTTGAGAATCTAATTCCCAAGCCTCGTTGGCTTGCGCTGATAAATGGTAAGTAACATTCATACCACACAAGTGCCAGGCAACAACCATTTCAAACAACAGACTAAGAACTTCCCTTTGACATTCGATGGCATTATCATACCAGACCACCATCGCCCACCCCAATCAATATCCTGCTGTTTCCATTAACCAGGAACTGAACTGAAATATTCATATTAAATACTGTGGGCCTTGACAGCAGGTCAGATGGGAGGAAACCTGCAGCAAGTAATTCACCTGCAGACCCCCCCAGAGCCCTGTCCATCATTTACAAGTCAGGAGTGTGACAGGATACTCCCCACTTGTCTGTGAATGGGTGCAGCTCCAACAATACTCAAGTAGTAGCCACGCCAAAGCAGCTCACTAGAGATTGGCACCATACCCACAAACATTCAGTCACTCCACCACCGAAACTCAACGTTTTGCTGGAATAAAATGTTCACCTTCACCACAGCCACGCCAACTCAAGGCCGTTTATTCGGTTTGAAGTGAAAAGTTCCTCTGCGAAACAAACGAGCTGGTGCAATAAGTTCAAAACAATAATGCGACAAAACAAACATCTAAGGCCGCTGGAGATCGTAAAAAAAAAACAGAAATTGCCGGAGAAACTCGGTAGATCCGGCAGCAATAAAAACAGAAGTTGGTGCAAAAGCTCAGCAGGTCTGGCAGCATCTGTGAAAGGAAAAAAAAACAAGGTTAACGTTTCGGGTCCGGTGACCCTTCCTCAGATCCAGTCCGGGTTCATCGGATTCTTCGTAAAACGATGCTTACACCCGGTGAGGAAAAGGTCGCTTTAAATCAAGTTCCTGCTTCGCCGGTTTTTAAAAAAAACTTTCAAATTTAAAATCCACGCGCAGCAATTGCAAGCAGTGCCGCGCAGGCGCGGAAGTTGGAATGGCGGGGAGATCACGCAGGCGCAGTAAGGAGCCCTTTCACCGTTACCACCCACCGTCCTCCCTGGGGACGGCGGTTTCTCCGGATCGCCCCTGTCTCTCTCTGCCACTAGTTATCCCTGCGTCCGTGTCGAGCGTCAGTTCCGGCGGCCAGCCGCTCTTCCCCGGATGTTTGCGAGCTGGGATTAACCCCGGAAATGCCGGATGAAGCCGGTGGGAGCGGAGCGCTGCAGGAATCGCGGCCCGGCCTCGGCGAACTCCGCTTCTGACACCGGCGGCGAACTCGAGAGGCCGAGTGCGGCGGGCGGCCCGGCGGCCTGCGCCAGGGGCCTGGGGTTGACCGCCCCCCACTGCCGGCTGCAGGGATGTCGGCGGAGATCATCGACACTCCCCCGCTGCACTTCGAGGAGATCGACTACAATGAGATTGATGTGGAGGAGGTGAGGCAAGAACCGGGGTTGGGGGGGGGGGTGGTGGTGGTGTGTTGCTGTTGCTTTTGGGGGAGACACCAAACCAGGGGAGAGAGTCAGAGAGTAGGCCCCAGCATAGGGAAGGGGAGCAAGCCCTGTCCGCAGCACCCCGCCCCCAGGCTCGTCCGTTTTGTTTAAGAGAATGAGGAAATGGGTTAAAGTTTTAGATGGATTGTAAACACGTTTAGTGAAGGGTACATCTCGTGCTGTCTAATGTTCTCTGGTAATCTCATACTCTGTCTCTCTCTGGTGCATTGGAGTGTGTAAGAGTTGTGGGGAGTTTTATTGTCTTTTTTTGAGTTTTATTTTTATTTGAACAAGAATTTTAAACGTTTGTGTCTCCTAGTACCCCGCCCCCAACGTAAGACAATTAGTAAAAGAATGCCTACAAAATTTGAATTAAGTGGGACGTGCTTATTTATTTTTATTCCTTGTTTTACTTGAAAGCTTTTGTTTATAAACTCTGTATAAACATGATCAGAAGTTATTTGAATACTTTCCTCGTGATGGCAAACTGATTTCATTTCTTCCCCGGCAACTTGGTGTCTAAACTAAAAATTTATATTCCGTGTGACTTACTGCTAATATATGCACTTTCAGTAAGGAGCTACCAGGGTATAACATTTGTTCCTGTGGATTTTCCAGGATTCTGAAGGTTGATGTTTTTGGTGGACTTGTAGGTTACCAAGTAATGTTTAGTGTAGATAGTTAACTTTTTGTGGGGGAAAAATGACTTCCCATTGCATGCTGAAGAAAGCTATGCAGAATTTTGATGGATCTTCATCTTTCCATTTTTTAACAATGTAAGTGTTTCAAGTTTGGCTTTCTTTTTTTGAAAATGCTGCTGCAATAATGCTGTAACTGTGTTGAGATTGCATTAGCATCTCCCTTTTAGTCAACCGACGGAAATTCTTCTTTTTGTTCTGATCCTTTGTACAGATGAATGTGATTTTTTTAATGAGCATGATGTGCACTTATCTAGTGTATTGTGATAAGTGAATGTGGATTTCAGTTACTTTGGTATTTGAATTAGCATAGAATTAAATAAAAAGTAACTGACTTTTAGGATGAAAAATCTGTTTTTATGTTGTATTTTATATTATACTATCTCAAGTCAATGAGAGTCCAGTTCAAGGCTTTTTTTTCAAAAAAAAAGTAACCTGTTGAGAGATGTTGTACACAGCCCTGGAACAAGTGGGACTTGAATCTGGCACAGATTTGGGATACTGCCACTTAGCCACTATATTTTATGACACTGGACTTTGCGAGAATTTCATTTGTACCTTTGAAAGTATACAATGATTTTGATTTTACTTAAAATTTACAACCAGCATAAATTAAGAAAAACTATCCTAAAGTTCTAAATGTTTCGAACCATTTTGATGTAATTAAGACTCAAAAAGTGGCAGTAGAATTCGACTGCAGAACCCAATCCGATAATTAACCATTGTGGGCTTCCAGCAGAGGTCTCTGCAAAGCAGTCAAAGAAGCAGGAATCCCTGAACTGTCGTCTTTCTTGTTCCTAACTCGGATCCAGTAAAGCAACCTGTTCAAATAAACTGACTGAGAGGACGATTACAAAATCAATCAGATGATTGGAGTTAATTAAGCAGGTGCTGTGGATTAAAAATATGATCAATCTTGTCTTCAAATATTCAATTTTAGAATATATTTAATTGTTCAGTGTCCAAACTTCCATGTGCTTGAAAAGCCTTTTTATTAAAGCACCAAATGAAAACCTTAAACTTGACATTGAAGCTTCATTTGATGTTCTCTCTCCAGTGAAATTATTTTCCAAGGATGACATAAATGACGAAATACATTTGATCAATGTCATGGTGGAGGGAAATATAAACAAATTGTGCGGGAGCTTCCTCCTGTTAATAATTGGAGAAGAGAACATTGTTTAATGAGGTGATTTCAAGAGCAATAACAGCTCCAGATTTTCATGATTAGCACATTCAACAAAAACTTGCACAATAGCTTTGGATCACTATCTGAAGAGCAGAAATTTGCAGCACTGAAGGGAGCAGGCAATGGAGTAATACAAGGTTAATTTTCTTGCGTAGAGTTGCTCGAGACATGACAGACCAAATGGCCTCCTTCTGTGCTGTAACCATTGAATGATTCTTTGATTTATCCTTATACTGTTAAAGGAAATTTAGTAAATTATACATTTCATGTGCTACACACATCAGCATGAAACTAGGTGGGAATGTGACTTGAGACGCTTCAAGCAGATTTAGAAAGGCGAAGTAAGTGAGCAAAAACATGGTAAATGGGATATAATGTGAAAAAACATGAAACTATCCACTTTGGTAGGAAAGAGAAATGCAGAGCATTTATTAAATGGTGAGAGACTTAGAAGCATTAATGCCCAAAGGAATCTCGCTGTCCTTGTCCTTAAGTAATTGAAAGCTAACATGCATATGCTGCAAGCATTTAAGAAGGCAAATAGAATGCTGGCCTTAATGGTAGTTGATTTGATTGCAGGAGTAAGTGTTACCATGATTGTTTTATAGAGCCTTCCTGAGACCACACCTGGAGTATTGTATACAGTTTTGATCTCAGTTAGTGAAAAAGATATATTTGGCATGGAAGAAATGCAAGGAAGGTTCACCAGACTGATTCCTGGGATGATGGCACTGTCCTGTGAGGAGAGATTGGAAATACTGAATGGGTGAGAGGCGGGGTTTGGTGAGGTGTGGTATCTTATTAATTATCAAAAGACTTGCAGGGCACAACCGGATGGATGCAGCAAGGATGTTTACCCTAGCTACTCGGAGGTTAGGAGGCCAATTTGGAATGAGATGAGCTGAAGTTTCTTCACACAGACAGTGATAACCTTTGAAATTCTGTACTCTGGAGTGTGGTGAAGGCTCAGTGATTGACTGCATTCAAAACAGAGATTGATTGATAGATTTCCTGACATTAAAGATTTCAAGGGATATGGGGATAACATAGGAGAATGACATTAAGAGATGTATGATCAACTGTGTTCAAGTTGAATGGCAGAACAGGCTCTAAGGGCTGAGTGGACTTTTTCTGATATTTCCTGCAGTCCTGTGCATACCCCAGAAGTCCTGCATTTTGCAGATTCTCAGTGCTGTGGTACAATCATGTAATGACAGTTTGGAATAAAATGTGATCTGAAGAGGTGAGAAAAATAAATAGTAGCGTGGAGTTTTGGTTTTGTATTGATCTACCTGACTGCATTTTTAAAAAATTATAGCATGGGTGTTTGTGTGTAATGTGAACAACAAGCATCCGCTACAAGATTTGAGATACCATACTAAAGAGCTGCAGTTGTTTTTGTTGTAACGATAAAGAAACAAAATCATTACACTATGATCATATTTTTGACTTTCGATTTGTTTTGACTATATACATATATAATACGCCTGTAATCTATTGCTGGAAAATCTCATTATACTGGTGATGTAATATACTTTTAGTTCATATATATTTCTATCCACTTGTGGGTTGATAGTTATCAAAAGGTGCTGGGCCAAGCACTTTAGGGGTATGTTTAAATGCCCATTGACTGCAAGAGTGGTAGCTACAGGCAACCATCCAAGCTGATCCAAATATTGAAAATCCTGGACTGTCATGGAAGTCGACAAAAATGTGAAATTCCTACTGTCATGGAAAGCTCCAAGTTCCAATGGCATCCCAGGAGAAATACACAAACCTGTCAAGCCTACATGTAGCTGTCAAATTTACGTAAATGCATCATAGTGAATGATGAACAAACCATTTCACAGGAGTTCAAGGGCACTGTGATTGTTTACTTGTACAAAAGAAGAGGACAATCTGTGTGACAACCACAGAAGAATGTCGCTGCTTACAATAGCTGGCAGATTCAAAAAAACGTTCTACTCAACATACTCGTCAGATTTCAGTGTGTGCGCTGTTAAGAATCAAATTTGGCATCCAAAAAGGTAGAGGCATTGAGATGTGATATTCACCCTTCAGCAAAACAAAAGAAATGCTGCAAATAGGTGGGGCACTTCTGTATACGATTGTACCTTAGCTGACCTGACAAAGGTCTTCGTCACAGTAAATAGAAAAACTTTATGTAAAGTTTTGGCCAAATTTGCATGTTTTGACAGAGCTGTAAATTTGATACAGCACTTTGTCAATGGCATGATGGTTGAGCTGCTGACTGTGGTAAATGTACTCAACACTTTGACTTAACTAACAGTGAGAACCATGTATGTGATTCCTCTGTGCTCTTCTGCATAATCTTTGTAGCAGGCTTTCAGGGGCATTTCATGAGCATGTGGATGGAATATATGTCCAAATTTATAACGAGTGGCAATTGTTTCAACTTGAGATGACTGAAAATCTCAGTTTCTGCTGATTGAGCCTTGTGTATCCTGGCTAGCCTTCAAAGAATCATGGACTATTTTTCAGAAGTGGGTTTTGACTATAGGTTAACCATCAGCTTATTGAAGACCGATACTTTGCCAATCACCAAATTCTGAACATACTCCACCTACTATAAATATAAATAACTTTATCGCAGAGGTGCAGTCTCCAAAAATGACTTTGTGGACAGCGAGATGCCAGAAAAACTTTCAGAAAAAACTCAGAATCTGCTCATTTAAATAAAAGACTGGAGGATATGAGGTAATAAGCTTATTACAAAACTTACTGTGTACAGAGCTGTGTTAATCCCTACCCTCTTATTTATATTGTAGTCCATGTCTCACAAACATATTAAGTAGTTGGACCTGAGATGCATTTGGAACATCATGGATGTCAAATAAAGAGACAGAGCCCAAACCTTCAGCTGCATTCCAAAGAATGGAAATCTCTGCAATTGGAGCATTCCTAATCAGAATCAGCTCAGAAAGAGTGGTTATGTACTGTACATGACTGCTAAAAGCATTTATTCATGACATAAACATGGACACTGTTCATAAGGTAGGCCAAGATTAAGACTCGAGCTTCTTGAAGGTTAATCT